TGTTAATGTCCTACACATCACAATAAATAATTTAATAAATATTAATTTTTTTATACCCAATACAAATTTAAGGTCATATTACAATCTTATTAATTATGCGTATTTAATCTAGGTACTATATAACATAAATCTATTTACAAAATTAATTTATCTAGAAAAATAACAAAAATGTTTGTATTATTATAGTATTGGATTATTTTTATTTTAGTATTAATATTTAAGTATAAACCATAAAAACGAAAAATTTCAAAAATGTTTAATTTGATGCTGATTATTTTTAAATAAACTGAGGAAAGCTAAGTTATTTAAACTGTCATTTAAACTAGTTAAATTCTTAAGTTGATTAGAAAATTAACTAACTAGTTAATGCCCACCTTTGGATATAAAATCAAATTTAATAATGGACAATTTAAAATGTGTCTTTTCACTGTAGATACAACTTTTTTTTATTTTTTTGAACAAGTCCTTCAAACGATTTTCGTAAGAAACATTTGGTAAAAAATAAGAGTTTATAAAGTAGGTAATATTAATTAGTATAACAACCAACAGATAACTTGATAACAAAAGATGATGGCGCTGAGGTAACGTACACTCGACTGACAGCATACGAATAAATTAGAAATATATGGCTTCCGTATAGGCACGATTAAAGATATACAGGTTGCACATCGCCGTATAGTAAACCGCTTCCAGACTGATTTACAAAGTGACTATAAAAATCAGCTGTTAATAATTAACTAGTGGCGCTTAATGTCAACACTCAACCATATGTGTCGACATTTAGAACTAATTTTACACCTATATATCTATAATTGGTTAATTGTAATACTGCCGCTTGGAGCGCCACTGGTTAATTATTGGTAGTCATTTCGTATTTCACCTTATCAGTAGTCGATGTGCAACCTGTATATCTTTAATCGTGCGTATAATACAGCCTGCACAGTCGTCTAAAATCGGTTACTTATTCAAATAGCCCGCCTCGGCCAACAACTTAGAAGCGACCCCTAGCGGACCTTAGAGGCAATTAGCATTTAATATTTTAGGTACCAATTATTATTTTCCGTAATATTACGTTCCGGTATTTTACGTTCCACACTATAACTTTCCGTCATATTACAGTCCGTGGTTTTACGGTCCGGGATATTGCAGTCCGGAATTTTATGTTCCGTCACTTTACGGTCCGTGATATTACGGTCCGGAATCTTACGTTCCGCGATAATACTGTCCGAGATATTACGATCAGGGGGGCGGTTTTGAAAGAGTGAGAGTGATTTAATGAGATGATATGACGTGAAACCGTGTGACTTAGGTGTTGTGGAAAAATGATAGTGGTGAGTGAGATGAAATGAATGCCGCGAGTAAAAGGGTGTTTTAAAATCGTGATATGGAATGATAATCATGGGTGAAATGAATGTAAATGGTGATATCATTGAAATGTACCAAAATAATTTTAATTATTCTCAATCATCTCACTTATTATAAGCCACCCGAGTAAAATGAAAACTATATGATAAACGTATAATTTTACTATTGAATATTTAATTTTTAAATAGGTTTACAAGGTAAACGTACTTACTACCTACTTTTTAGAATGGCTTTACTTTTTGGAATTCCTAATCCAAGACAGAGAAGAATACAATATAGACAACAAATGAGGTAAATACATAGACTGTATATTAAGGTCTATGGTGAAATACCTACCTACTATCACAGGCGCAAATAGGGGAGGGTTTAGGGGCTATACTTTCTGTAAATTATAATTCTATATTCATCTCGTATTTCCTAACTTCCATTCAGTCATTTAAATTTAAATTACTTATAATTTTTGTATACTTAACTTCTAAGAGATGCTGAAGACCCGTTCCTCATTAGTGATACCAAATTTATAAAGGACTTTCGATTATCAAAAGAATGTGTGCGTTATATTATAGCCAGAGTAAGGCCTCACATGACTATTAAAAAACGTCCAAATAGTTTATCTTTGACAAGAAGGGTTAGTACCGAATAACTTATAGTTAATTTGACAATAGTAAGATATGCGTTAATTGAATGTAACTTATAATTCCCTATAGGTACTCATTGCTATACATTTTTGTGCGGTGGGTAGCTATCAAACTGGTATTGGAGAAAACCCGTACATACTTGTTTCTAGGAGTATGGTATCTAAATGCCTAAAAGAATTTACGGACGTTATTGTAAACCATGTTGCCAATGAATGGATCATATTTCCAATAACTCCATTACAAATTGCCAGGAATAAGCGCCGGTTAGTACTGTGTTTAAAAAGAAAACCATATATCATGCTACTCAATAGTTTTCCTCTATAGGGAAAATCTATGAATCATATATAATATGTTTTTGTTAATAAGTTACTATGACAATAAAAACCTTACAGAAAATAAAAAGTATCCAGCCTAAAAACATATAATATATTATGTTAAAAAAAGTAGAGATACTAACCTCTTAAAACAATTGAATGTACTCTGTACCAGTGTCGGTCTGGCATACCAAAAGCCTCTGGAACATTTATTTTCCAGGGCCTCATTCACATAAAATACCAAGGACTTGAAAACTAATTGAAATATAAAAAATATATTTTCCATTTGATAATAATTAATAAACATAAAAAAAATATTAATAAAATTGTACCTATATATGTATTAAATTGATATAAGTTTATATACATTTTAAGCTAAAAAACAGTATATATTATGATAGTAATGTTTTCATTCTTATAAATGTATTACCAAAGCTTAAAGTTATGACTGTATTAAACTAAATGAAGCTGAAAATGTTAAATAATTGGGTTTAAGTATCAATATATACTTTAAATGGGACCAACACATATACAAACTATTGCTAATACTTAGGAAGCTCGTTATAAATTCAAAACATTAAAATACATTGTAGATGCCAATTTAATTAGAACTATCTATTTTGCTATAGCCTAACCAATCTTCACCTATGTGGTGGTACTTATGAAATACATTTGGCTCCTCTGATTTCTACTTTAAATAATCTATTGAGATAAATTTTTGAGAAGACAAGGGTTTACCCAATTAATCTATTATATTATAAATTTGAAGTACCCACAGTGTCTAATTTATATTTCAAAAATATTCTACTACTTATATATAAATATAAACATATATTATGTAAATCTGATTCTAGATATAATACTAGGAACAACATTAACACTAATTTAAATAGCTATAATGTGTATAATACCACAGTTAAGTTAAATTTGTTTAAAAATTAAATTTTAATCATACACCTACCTAACTGTCTTATAAATGATATTCTTAGTTTCATTCAGTAGGTATACTAAATGTCTATACTTTATATAGTACATTATTGTTGAAAATTGTACTTAGATCTCACCCTTTTGGCACAAGCTTAGATTTTGAAAGGGTATAAATATTCTTTTATTGTTTTATATACATTATAAATTTAAATAGATAAGTATGATAAAAAATAAATAAAAATTCATTTATTAAGTGTGTAAAATAAAAATCAAATTTAAGTAGATTTATACTACAAAAAATAAAACAAATATACATACAATGTGTATTCCCTTTTTATAGTTGATTTGAATAATTTGCTATTGTTTCAAATATTTCAATTAGTTCTTCAATGTCAAACTATTTTTTTATGATGCATCAATCACATAAATTGATTATTTTATTCTATAATTAATATTCAGAATTCGTTACTATTTTATTTCATAAGGTTTTTAGAAAAATTTAATATACCACATACAATTGGAGCAGTAGATGGCACACAAATAGCTATTACTCCACCTAATGAAATTGATGAATTATATCAAGAACATTTATATATTAATAGAAAACAGTATCATTCAATTAATTGTCAAATAGTAAGTAACTTAAGTATCCAAACTAATATGTACCCAAATCTAGAGAATTGTTAATACAACATTGAACGCAAATATTGTTCATAGGTAACAGATGCTGATTTAAAAATTTTATCAATTAATGCAAAGTTTCCAGGCCGTAGTCATGATGCATATGTATGGAAGAACTCTACAATTCGTTCTCATTTGTTAGAAACTAATGCTAAAAACACATTTCTCATTGGTAAGTTCAAAATGATCATAGTAGTATAGTATCTAAATTTAAAAAATGTTAATCACAATTTTTTATAGGTGACAGTGGTTATCCTTTGGAACCATGGTGCATAACTCCAATTTTGGGAAATCATCAAATTTATTCACCTGAACACCGGTTCAATAAAACTCACAAACGGGCCCGCTGTACAGTTGAAAGGTGCATAGGGGTTTTGAAACAACGTTGGAGATGCCTATTGAAGGATCGCACATTGCATTATAAACCTACAAGAGCTTCCAAGATAATTATAACGTGTGCTGTTTTACATAATGTGGCTATACATTATAATATTGGGCTGCCTGAATATGACAATGAAGAAGAAGAGGATGAATATGAAGAAAATCATGGACAAGAAGTTGAAGAGTTGTTAAATGCTGGACGACAGACGCGTCAAGAACTACTGAATCAGTTTTTTACACATTAATAAACAATGGTACACATATTTTAACATTAAATAAATGTATTCTTTGTATATCACATGAGATTTACTGTTTTTCACCTATTATCAGTCTTATACATATATAGGTAACAGCTAGTATAGTAAGAAGTAGATACTAACAAAAACCATATTTGGTATTCTTAATAATCAAAAGGTACAATTGTATAGACTTAATTTACATTAAAATAAATTAAAAACAAAAACTAAAACAAAAAATAATTAAACCTCAAGATCTTTTCACAGTACATATTTGTATGCTGCCACTAATAATAAATTTATATAACAAGATTAATGCCCATATGCATAATTAATTTATGTGTCACATTCATACAGACATAAACAACTTTTTAGTACATTGGAATAAAACATTTAATTTAAAAAAGTAATTTTGACATGGAAAAACTACTTTTTAGTATCTTTCCTTTTTTAAAAAACTATTCTATATCGTTTATGCCAATCACACTGACATCTTCATAGTCTATATTTGAGGAGTTGTGGGTTTGCTGGTACTTTTTAGAATATTTCCGCTCTAAAATTATATTTCTTTCCCGTTCTATTGCATTTCTGTCTTCTAAAGCTAACGCTATGCGTTTCATTTGCACAGCTTGATTAATAGTGGCATCGGCTAAATTTTTCTGTTGCTTAATCATTTCTTCATAACCCGGTCCACTTTCAAAAGCTTCAGTGTATGTGCGTGAAGCTTTTTTTTTTTGGTGCAATATTTTGTTTTAAAGGAACCTTTTCATTTACAATTTTATCATCATCAATAAGACTATTATTTTCGTTACGTGTATTCCAGTTATACGATGGTTGAGTTTTATCAGGAGACACCGAGTTAATAGCCACAATAACTTCGGTTTGGTTGATACCTACCTCATGTACTTCTGGATCTCCACTAATCAGTACTTCCCCAATAATGTCAGCGATTTTACTTTCAAGTGGGGAAAGAATAATATTTGTTGGTTGATTTCCAGTCTTCAAGGAATCACGTTTTATTACAGCAGCTTTGTCTTTAATAGTCCTCTTAAGGTCATCCCAAGTCTAGAAAATTAATACACGTTTTTAATATTTTAATAGGTTGTACATATCGTAATAACCTTTATGATATACTTATTAAATTAGATATATTTCCATGAGGCTTACATTATGTAATACTTTGTTACAAATTGTACAATATTGTCATGTATTTTAAAAATCCATAGCATAACCTTAATATTCTCTTGTGTTATAACAATATCATCTTCAATTGCCTTACTGCACCATGTCACTTACTCACTTCCAAACCTGTGCAAGTTGGTCATTTTTTTTAATTAGTTAAAATTATGTTAATTTAACATAAAAACTACTAAGTCTCAATAAACCAACAGCAACACTCTTAGGCACAATTACAGTTTTTTACTTGGAAGGTCTTTACATATTTAAATGAAACCAACCCTTGGGGGACTCTGCCTGTTCAAACAACACCCCTTGTTCAAATACCTTTAAAATTTAAAATTTATAAAAAAAAAAACACTTCTATCGAGTATCAACTATATTTTAGTCAAATAATAATTAAAGTGTTATGAGTAATGTATTGTAATTACTAATAAACCTATAATTTGTTCTGTGGGTGGATACGATATCTACTATGAAAAACTTATGAATAAAAATCGTTATTTAAACTTTAGAAAATAATTTTTTCAAACAACGTTATTGATTATGTAGATTAGACTGGAAAGATTAATATTTTAATTAAAATACAAATTGGAAAAAGCTCAAAAAATAATTATAAGAAAACCAAAAGAGTAAAAAGTACCTACCAATTTACCAACACTTATTTTAACAACTTACTTTTTTCCACTTCTTGACATCTTTTTGAGCTTTTCCACTGGCATTTAAGAGTTCACCTAATTCATTCCACAGCCTTTCTCCGTGTTCAAATGTGAACGAATCACTAAATTTATTTTCAATAAGTTTACGGTTGAGAATAAAAAAATCTGCCATGACATTTTTCTGGTTTTCACTTATACGTGCCATTTTTATTGTTTATACGGGTGTAATACAGTATACTGGTTAATAAAAAATAAATCACAACTAAAAACTATTTTTTATAACCGTGAAATCCTGTGACAAAAGTTTAACATGACAGAATATTATTAATTAATAATTATTTATCACAATGATATAAATAAAATATAATAATTCTTTACAACAATAAAAATTATTTTTAGATATTATCATATTTATTCGTTATCAAATTTACATATATTCATGGTGGAAAAATTATTTATTAATTTCTCCAGGTAAAGTGAGTTGTGATATCATAAATGATATTTGTGAGACTGAGATGAGATCAGTGACTACGGTGGCTTTAAATATTTTCTCATTGCTAAATTATGAAGTGAATGAAATGAGATGGATGAAGTGGTTATGTGTCAAATGACTCACTCTATCAAAACCGCCCCCCTGAGGTTTTACATTCCCTGATTAAACATTCCAAAATATTACGCTCCGCAAATTTAATTTCCGCTAAATTACGTTCCGCTGAATTATTTTCCGCACTATTATAGCCCCCCGTGACAACTTACATTTACATGCAAATTGTCAATCGTCCGAAGCGCCACAATTACCGGCTTTATAATCTCCCAGCCTAATTTCAAATTCTATTACGATTATACTCTCTAGGAAAAAAAGTTAATAGTTTCTCTAAAATCTGCTTCTTTTAAACATAATTATCTATATTTAACACGTGCCCCATTTGGGCACGCGTCACTAATATCACAAAATCCCATAAATTCCAATAAATTCTCAGTTATTAATTATTATTTTTTTTGTTTTTTGTTTTTAGAATTAAATATGCAACAATACCATCTTGACCGGTGATAAATAATTTAATATGTTTAAAATTTATTACATTTAGAGGAATATATTTAATCAAAGTTGTCTGCTGTACGTTGACCTGTACGGTCGTTTTGCGTTCTACGTTGTTAAAATTACGTTATGAAAATTGAATTTGGGGCGAGTAGTTTATGAATTATAAGTATTTAAAGTTTAGACGAGCGGTGAAGTGGACAAACATTTCGCGGGGTAACCCCGAACCACTCCACTCCGTATAACATTCCATTATCAATTTTATAACGAATGTTTTTCCGCACCCTGCTGGACCTGTGAGAAAAAGCTGCAAGGGTTTTCGATTTGGAGTGGACAGATGAAAAATTACTTCAAATAAAATGCTTTTTTGTGCATTATTAGTAGACCTTATTAACAACCAAAAAGTATTATTGTCCATCAGATTTTGTTTTTTTTTTTACTATCGCAGAAAGTTTATTGAGCGTCGCTAAACGAATATCATCGTTGGCATCCGAATTAGGATTATTCAAAAGCTGATCGAAACGGTTCTCCTCGGGTAAGATGTTTACAAAATTTTCAACTTCTTCATCGTCACTATCATTTTCTCTGCAAAGTTGTCTACAAATATCTTTTGTTTTTTGAATGTCTAAATCCGATTCAAATTCTCGTCTTCTATGCAAAATAATATCTTCATATTGATTGTAGATACTGATATACTTTGCATCTGCCAAAATATCATCATCTTCATTCCTGAAGGCAATATGCAGCGTAACCATTTCTCGTTTGTATTCGTTCAAATCTGGTATATCATAATTTAGATATCTAATTACGCGAGAAGTTTTGCGTTGCATATGTTCTTTTTTATTATTAATGTAATACTTAGAGACATATTGTGCTAATGTGATCTCATTTAAATCAATGGGTCGTTTAGAGTATTTGTCGAACCAATTCTACTTCCAAATGTCGGTGGAATCATCGTCAAGTAACTGTAACTGCTTAGCCGTTTTTGGTCTTGTGGCCATATTGTCGGTATGTAAGCAACAACTACAGAACTTTTTGACATTGGCTGACGTAATAAAAACCGTGCAGCTTCCTGACTAGTCATTTCAACATTGTTGATAGTATCGACGCTGATTTTCCTCGTTATTTCCACAATGTCGAATTCCGGATGCTCATTCATGGTTTCAATGATTCGTCTCTGCAGATTACTAATACCTCTGTTAGTCTTATTTACGTAGTCGACTACGTATTGTGCACAAGAATATTCTTCTGTAATCAGTTGAATATCCATGTTTGACCGAACAGTACTCAAAATAAAAGGATTAAATTGGTTGTGCCACTTTTCCGCTGGTGTTCGTTTAATAAAAGGCTTAGGTCTTTTGATGCCTGCTCGAAGAATGTTAAAGTAATCGTCATCTGAACTTATATAATTTTTTGTATAAAAATCTTCGATGTCTGTGTAATCATTATTTTCTAAGTTGATTCTAATTTCTCTGTACCGTTTAGAATAGTTAGTAAAGCCTACATCTGTTTTTTGCATTGGTATCAGTATGACGGCATGAATGGAGCTTCAAATCGACACTGTTGATTTTTGTTTGATATAATTTTTTTATAACATGTAAATGTATGCTTGTGTGTTTGGAGTTTGATATTATTTGAAGCTGCATTTTCTGAGATGGAAAATAAAGCATCAATTAATTCAATTGCTTTATCATAGTCAGTATTAAGCGGATTTTGAGGAGCATTATCGAGATAAAGCAATATGTGCGCATGAGGACTTCCTCGATGCTGGAATTTAATTCTTAAAAAATAGTCAATAACGGCAAATTTACAGAAAGGACTAAATTGTTTTGATTTTAGTATATTTAGCATTACAGATACAAGTTTATAAAAATAAACAGCACATGTTACTGCATCTTCATTGATGAGAGTACTTACATCAATGAAGTGCATCAAGTCTAAATCTTTATCTGATATTTCGATTCCATTATTTTTAAACTTGTATAAAAGTTTCAGTAAGTTACGCCAACCAATCTCATTAGCGTTAAGAGTTAAAAAAAAGCGTGGGCTCACCCTTTTGCCTGATAATTGAAAACAGATCTTTTTTACGTGATGACCAATACCACGCAGAATTGGGGATAGCTTTAAGAAAAGCCAGGTTAGTTTCTAAACAATCGTGTATATATTCTGTCGACTCAATCTGTTGTCGCGTAACATAATTATTTTTATCCAGTATGTTTAAATGCTACCGTTAATGAATCGCGAACCCTAATTCGAAGAATTTTCATGGCTAAATAAAGCAAATGTTGTGGAGTTACACCTCCGAAGTTCTCCGAAGTTCGCTAGTAGCCATTTGGAATGGAGTAATGGTAAGCCCTTCTGAAAACTTTCGAAATTGGCCTAAGAAAAAAGTTGGAAAAGACAACTCTTCGGCATGTTCATCAAAAAGTAAACTGAGAGGATGATTATTTTCTCCTGGAGCTATCCGCAAATATTTTTCATCGTTCCACAAAAGAGTCTGTTGTTGAGCAGTTATACTATCTTCAAGAGGAATGTCTTCTGAAAGTTCATTGATATGATCATTTTTAAAAAGTTCTTGAAGTTCGAGTTGTGTTTGTTTAAATAATAAATTATCGTTGAAAAATGAATCATCAATTGTGATATTATAAAATGTATAAAGTGGCGTAGTTATAAGGTATTTTAACCACAATTGAATATGATTTTTGTTTACTAAACCTTGGACAAAACTCGACTTGTGAATTTTTTTTCTCTTAATGTGTACGTAAACTGAATGATCCTCCTCAATATTTCTGGGCAATCTATTTACCATAGTATTAACTGTCACTGGGACATTGATAACTTGTCCATATATACCGTATTGTCCATGTACATGCCTCAATCTTCTTATTGTCATGAACGGTATTCGAGGTGAAATGAGTCTCTCAGTTAAAAAATCTATATTTGGTAAATATTCCGGTATAGGAGGATAATTGAAACCATTAAATGTAGCCATGATAGGTATTTTTTGCTTATTTAGAGCATTTTTACAAGTTGCACAAATGACTATATCATTGATATTTGTAAAAACCTGGAAATGGAATTTTTTAATAATAAATAATGTAATTATTGTTATATGAATTCAATGTAAATATTATTTGATTTTATATTACCATAATTATTTTTCGTAAAATATCCTCATGTACAATCGAAGCCATTTTCAGATCATTTTTAAACCAGAGTCTATCACAAACTAAACATGAATGACCAAAACTATTACGTACAACATTTTTTTTGAAGTATCCGTGTGCCTTTTGATGCTGTTCAGCTCCAGTGTAATTATGTAAATAATCATTTTCATTGTCTTCAAGGCAATATTCATTTTGCATATCAACTTTGTCATTTTTCTCACTCCTAAATTATTCGTAAAATTTAAGTATATTTAATAAAATTAATAATATAAGAATAACTGAAACCAACCACTGATGATCCATATAATTTGTTGAATATAATTGTAATGCCTCATTGTTATAATAATGCAGATTTTCTTCGAGAACGTGTCTATGATCTATTTTCATAATATCTTCATTTTTCCTTTCATTATTATTATCTTGATAATTCCTAAATTATTTAATATTATTTTAATTTTTTAACAAGTAAAAAAGGACAATATTATTTAGTTTAAATTTTAAATATTTATATTAAATTTTTAATTAAATGTTTAAAAAAAATAAATTTAATTTTAAATAATTATAATTTTAATGTTAGGTACTACAATTAACCTAGTATTTATAAATGTCAATTAAAATTGAGTAATATGTCACCTTTGCTCATTATTTTCTGGAAGCGTAGGAAACGGTATCAATAATTTATTTTCGTAAATTTCAAGCAAATGTATCCTCATCTTGGTATGATCATATGTTTCTTGTCGGGGGTCACGACCATTAAGTATAGAAGCAGCAAATGCAATAGCAAAAACGCCACAATCCACTGCATTTGGCTGTTGCATGACTTTATGAAAAATATAAGGAGGTTCGTAAGGACACAACCTATTCAATAATTCTTGAACGTCAGGGTTCAAAGACTGTGTGTTTAAACTGTCATTTATATGGATATATTGTCCATCGTAATATGTGCAAATCCAGTGGGTAATCTGATCCAGTCGAGTAACGTTGCCACTAATTATCTGGATATGAGTCTGTGATGCAGGCAGTGCTACTACAAACTCTAATGCACCAATGAAAAACACATTTACTGGTTTGAAACACGTATTATTCGCAACTATCTGATGAAAAATTTTAATATGATCCCCGGTTAAGTATTCACCATTTGAAATTTCTTCTCTGAAATTAGCAATGTTCCTAATTAAATTATCGATTCGCAATGCTTTGGATACGCTTCCTGGATCATTTTTTCTTTTAATTAGCCATTGATAAATATATTGAGATGGGTTTGAAACTGCATAGTTTTGGACTAGACTATTATAGTTTTGTCTGCAATAGCAATAAAACATGTATTCGAAATTATTATTTTTCAATAAAATATATTTAAAGTGAATAATTATTTTACTGTTGAATTGAAACATCTTTTTTTCGAATTATTTCTTTAGTTTCCGTATTTTTTTTCTTGTTTTCTCTGTATTTTTTTTGTTTCTCGGCACATTTTTGCCTGTAATCATAATAAAATAAGATATTTGAAAAAAAGGAAAAAAGGATAAAAAAAAATTTTATAGGGTACACTGCCCAGTCCCCAATATTGTATGTAGTACGAGAATTGAAGTGTGCATGTTAAGAAATTTAAAAGTGTGTTATTCAAATTAAACCTTTATAAAATTGTGCAAAATTGTATAGCTCCACATTTCTTTTTTTATATTTTAATGGTATTTTATCAAACTAAATTTTAATTATTGTCTACATTTTACACAGACGTACAATAACCTTATCGTGGGCAAAATTGTGGTACCTACAACCTCTATTTGACGAAACTTTATATTACAAAGAGATTTACATACCTACTTAGGATAAATTTAAATGATTTCTTTTATTTTTATTTATTTATTTACTAATATTATATATTATTATTTATATGCATTTTGTACACTAAAAATGAGTTTTATAAATGAAAAAAATATCACTGATATATATACCGGGTGTATCTTATGTCATTGTACGCGGGTTTTTTTTAACGATTATAGCATGATGATATGGAATTTCGTTAAGACGAAAAAAGACGTGTTTCTTTATTTTTAACAGGCAATTTTTTTATATCAATTTCAAAATTTTTAAACACGCAGGTGTACCAATAGCAAATTAACTTAATTTTTTCAAACGGCAACCACTATATTTTTTAATGGATTCTTATAAAGCTTTTTTTTCTGAAAATTTTGATAATCGAATCATCAATTTTGGCTCGTTAGTTTATTAACTATGGTCCTCTAAAGATTAGTAAAATACGTATTAATACTTTTAATTGAAATAATTGGTATAGGTTTAATTTACAAGCGCTAAACAATTTTTTCTTGTGACACTTTTTTTATACACTTCAATAGTTGAATCTGCAATCTAATGACATGCTCAGAAAAAAAAAAAATAATAACATAAACAAAATTGTTGGCAAACATAGTTCATTATTTTTATTTCAATATATGATCATAAAAATCAATATTATTATTTTAGGAAATGTCACTAGACTGGGTGGCTTCTTCCAACAATGTATTTTTCCATGTCACTGTAATTTAGCTGTAGCCCATTTTCTTATTGTGCTTCAGGGTACAGATTGTATATTTCTTATAAAAAATAAAAAATTTATTATTATAATCGTAATTAATTACTTTACATTTTTTTCATCACAGTTACTTTTCAGTTTTCTTACAATATCATAAATTTGAATTCTTTATTAGATAGGTGGCTAAGGTAATAATGGTAAATTGGTAAATAGTATTTGATTGTTGCTCAATATGTGCAACGAAAAAGTGTAATAATTTGTGGTGCTCTTTTTGTAATGGTATAAACTTGAAATTGTAACCATAGATTCCCTATAGTTCCCTTATTGGTACAACAATTTAACAATAATAAAAATAAGTGAGATAACAAAAGTCTTTAAATAATTATGATTTAAAATATACCATTAATTGCAAGATATTTACGTAAATAGTCGATATTAATATACCTAATATTTAGGTGGGTACCTTTAACCTGAGTTAATTACAGATTTATAATATTATTATAATAATCAAATACCATTATTACCTTAGCCACCTAATTAGGTATTCAAATTTAGTAATCAGTGGCGTATTTACGGGGGGGGGGTCCCCGGGTCTGGACCCCCCCCAGAAAAAAATATAATATAATATAATTATTACATCGTAACTCGTATGTGTTTTTTTTATATTATAAACTTGTAGGTACCTAATATTCAGACCCCCCCCCACAAAAAATTTCAAAATACGCCACTGTTAGTAAGCAAAGTAACTGTAATCAATTAATTATGATTATAATAATAATTATTACAACAATGGTACGTACTATTTATTTTATGGTTGTA